GATGATGATGATGATGATGATGAGGAGGAGGAGAGAGATGCTGCTGCTGATGATGCTGATGATGCTGCTGATGATGATAATGCTGATGAATAGTATGATCAAGGTGATGATGATGATGATGATGATGATGATGATGATGATGCTGATGCTGATGATGATGCTGCTGATGATGATGATGGTGGTGCTGGTGATGACGATGAGTATGATGACCATGTTGATGCTAGTGATGATGAGGAGGATGAGGACGATGGGGCGCAGGAGGATTAATCTGAGGATGGGGATGATGAGGATGCTGCTGCTGCTGATGATGATGATGACAATGATGATGATTAGGAAGAGGAAACGGGGAAGGAGGAGCCGGAGGATGATGAGGATGAGGATGGCGATGATGATGGCGATGAGGAGGAGGAGGAGTAGGAGGAGGGGGAGGAGGATGTTGAGAATGATGACGGTGATGATGACGGTGATGATGATGGTGATGATGATGAGGATGAGCGGGGTGGAGGTGAGGGTGGTGACGGCGATGGTGATGATGATGGTGATGAGGAGGAGGAGGCGGAGGAGAAGGAGGATAGCGACGAGGATGATGAGAATGACGGTGATAATGATGCTGTTGATGAGGAGGATGATGATGCTGATGATGATGAAGGTGATAAGAATGATGATGGTAGAGTCGTCATGAAAATGACGCTGGTCATGATGATGATGGTGATGATGATAATGTTGATGATGATGCTGACGGCGACGGCAACGACGATGATGATGATGATAAGGCGACCGCGGAGAAGGACGATGATGATGACCACGACGATAACGATGATTATGTTGATGATGGTGTTGATGTTGCTGCTGCTGCTGATGATAATGCTGATGATGCGGGGGAGGAGGATCATGATGAGGAGGAGGATGAGGAGGATGATGATGCAGATGATGAGAAGGAGGATGAGGACGAGGATGAAGATGTGGATGAGGATGATGATGATGGTTGTAATGGTGATGGTGATGGTGATTGTGACGATGATGATGATTATGATGATGCTGCTGATGCTGATGATGATGCCGGCGACCACGATGACGATGCTGATGGTGATGCTGCTGTCGAGTATGGCAATGATGATGCGGATGCTGATGATGATGTTGAATGTGATGTTGACGATGGTGTTGGTGGCGATGATGATGATGATGATGATGATGATGATGATGATAATGATGATGATGATGATGTTGACGATGCTGGTGATGATGATGATGCTGATGCTGATGGTGCTGTTGATGATGGTGATGATCATAGTGCTGATGATGCTAATCATGATGACGAGTTTTAGGAAGACGAGGAAGAGGAGGAGGTTGAGGTGTTTGATGAGAAGGAGGATGAGGATCAGGATGAGGATGAGGATGCGGATGGTGACGATGGTGGTGGTGACGATAGTGATGCTTGTGGTGGTGAGGGTGATGATGACGATGACGATGACGATGACGATGGTGACGATGCTGATGTTGACGACGATGATGATGCTTATGATGATGGCGATGATGTTGTTGATGTTGCTGATGATGATGATGATGTTAGTGATGATGATGATGTTGATGATGATCACGCTGATGAGTCTGATGATGATGATGTCGATGCTCATGATGATGGTGGTGGTGCTTGTGATGAGGATGCTGATGATGATGATGAGGAGGAGGAGGAAGATGAGAAGGATGAGCATGGTGATGGTGATTCGGATGATGGTTGTGATGGTGATGGTGGTGATGATGATAAATATGATGACGACGAAGATGATGGTGATGATGCCGATGATGGTGATGACGGTGATGATGACCATGATGACGATGGTGATGATGGTGATGTTGACGATGATGACGATGATGACGACGATGACGAGCATGACGATGCTGAATATGATGAGTATGGTGAACATGATGCTGATGATGATGATGGTGATGACGATCAGCATGATGATGATGCTGATGATGATGATGGTGATGATGATGGTGAGGATGATGGTGGTGATGGTGATGATGCTGGTGATGGTAATGACGATGATGAGGATGAGATGGATGGTGATGATGATGATGCTGATGCTGATGCTGATGCTGCTGCGGATGCTGCTGTTGCTGATGCTGATGATGCTGATGATGATGATGATATTGCTGATGATGATGCTGCTGATGATGATGAGGGTGATGGTGATGGTGCTGGTGATGTTAATGACGATGATACGGAGGAGGTGGATGACGATGATGATGTTGATGCTGATGCTGCTGCGGATGCTGCTGCTGCTGATGATGATGATGCTGAAGGTGGTGATGATGATGTTGGTGATGATGATGATGATGATAACGATGGTGAATGTGATGATGCATATGATGATGATGAGGAGGAGGAGGATGAGGATGATGAAGATGACGACGGCGATGCCGATGATGATGATGATGATGATGATGATGATGATGATGATGATGATGATGATGATGATGATGATGATGATGATGATGATATTCATGATGCGGATGATGGTGATGATGATGATGATCGTAATGACGATGATGGCGATGATGGTGATGATGATGCTGATGCTGACGATGATGATAGCTGTGGTGGTGGTGGTGGTTGTCATGATGATGGTGATGATCATGGCGATGATGATGATGATGATGATGATGATGATGATGATGATGATGATGACGATGATGACGATGATGCGCATGCAGTTGCCGTTCATGTTGATGGATGCACTTTTCCTGCTGGAGCAATGTTGATTCGTGATACGGGTATGTTTGCCCCCCTGGGACTCTGCAAACCCAGGAATGACCTGGATGCCTGCGAAATGCCCCCCAGAGTGGGGGGGAGAGGAGGGGAAGGAGAAGGAGTGGGAGGAGGGAGGATGGAGGCGAGATGAGGGAGGAGGGGAAGGAGGAGGAAGAGGAGGAGGAGAAGGAGGAGGAGGAGGAGGAGCAAGAAGAGGAAGAGGAGGAGGGGGAGGAGGAGGAGAAGGAGGAGGAAGGAGGAGGCGGAAGAGGAGGATTTACAGGAGGGAGGGGCGAGAGGAGGGAGAAGGGGAAGGAGGAGGAGGAGGAGGGGGAGGAGAAGACGGCAGGAGGAGGCGGAGGAGGAGGAGGAAGAGGAGCAGGAGGAGGAGGAGGAGGAGGAGGATGAGGAGGTGGAGGAGGAGGAGGAGGAGAGGAGGAAAAGAGGGAGGAGAAGAAGGAGGAGGAGGAGGGAGGAGGGAGAAGGGAGGAGGTGGAGGAGGAGGAGGACTTGAGTAAACCCAAGACTCATCAACGATGTTGGAATAAACCCTGCTTCCGAGCTCCCTCTTCATATTGCCCTGCAGGGGTTAATTTGCATTATTTTCCACTGAGGGACATGCTTCGTTGGGAGACAACCGTTGGAAGACCATGAAGCATGCCAAAGCACCATTCTCGGGACTCCAACGCCACTGATCAACTTGGTTGTTGTGTCTTGACGGCCTTGAATCGTGCCAGAACGCCTTCCCTCGGACTCCAACATCGCAAATCACTGTAACTGTTGCGAACTCACAATTCTGAATTTTTCCAGGACAGTATTCTGGTACGCTGACCATGGGGATCCGTGAAACCATTACAACTTGTTCAAAAGATAGTGCGCGGCGCTACGGCGAGAGCCACATTTTGAAAACGAACCGCCATCCATCCGTGAAGTTCTTGTAAATGTTGAAAACGATGCCAGGCGTGGTCTTACAAGCCCGGCTGTTCGATGTTTTCTTTGTTTTTTCCCCCCTCCACTCTCTCTCTCTCTCTCTTTCTTTGTCTGCCTTGCCTCCGCTTCGGCTTCCAGATGCGTGGAGCCGCGCAGCTGCCTGGGGGCTGCGCCTGGCCCACGCAGGCCCCGCCCCATGAGGGCCGGCCCCACCCCCATGAGGCTCCAGATGTCCCCGGGGGGGGGGGGCACGAGCAGTCCAGAGCCTTCCTGGAACGCCCTCTCCTGGGAGGCTTCGCGGCGCGATCCTGGTCAACGGTGCTCAATTGCTTAAAGAACGGTTTTCTCATTTGCGGCTCAGGAAATACACACAAACTTCTTTTCTTGCACAGGATCCTGACTACAGCGCTTTTCCTGGCACGACGGCAGACAGGCAGAACGTCTGCCAAACTGGGAAGTACTGTACGAAGAATTCCGTGCAAATGAAGCGGTTTATGTCCAAAGTCACTTGTGTTAATTGAGAATAGTTAGATTCGAAGCAAATGAGCGCCGTGCCTGAGGAGCGCGCTGCGGCGGGCCCACCTACGCAGCGATGCACGTCAGGGCGGCCCCAATTTCAGGCAGGCCGGTCCGCGGACAGGCCTAGCACAGGTGGCCCCGACAGCAGGGAATCTCGCCGCAGGCCTGCCCCCCCCCCCCGAGGGCAAGACACGCAGAGAGCCTGGGCACCTGCCAGGGCTGTCCCCGCAGGATGTGGGGGGCTGCAGGCGGGTGCGAGCTCAGGCAACTCGGGTCGCGCTTGGTCTGGCCTCGGTCGGGCGGTGGGCGGTCGAGGGTGGGAGGCTTGGGCGCGACAGCTGATGGCTCGCAGCGGACGGGGCAGAGTCGCAGGAGCGCGCGCAGCGTGGCAGCGTCTGCGCGGAGAGCGATATAGAGAGAGCGAGCGAGAGAGAGAGAGAGTGAGAGAGAGAGAGAGACTTAGGCGCAGACAGAGGCAGCAGGGGCACGCGTGGCGTTTCTCTCTTGAGGTGTCGCCCAAAATGTCCTGGCCCAGCCGGGCTTGTGAGGCCACGCCCGCCACGATTGTGCGCGGCACTACTGCGAGAGCCAGATTTTGAAAACGAGCCGCCATCCATCCGTGAAGTTCTGGTACATGCTAAAAACAATTGTGCGCGGCATTATGGCGAGAACCACATTTTGAAATCGAGCCACCATCCATCCGTGAAGCTCCTGCAAATATTGAAAATGAATGCGCGCGGCGCTGCGGCGAGAGCCACATTTTGAAAACGAGTCGGAAACGAACCGCAATCCACTTGTGAAACTCTTGCAGATATTGAAAACGAATGTGCGCGGCGCTAAGGCGAGAGCCACAGTTTGAAAACCGCCTGCCATCAACAAGTGAAATTCTTGTACGTTATTAGGACGAATGTGCGCGGCGCAAAGGCGAGAGTCACATTTTGAACACCCACTCCGTGAAACTATGGCAAATGTTGAAAACGAACGTGCGCGGCGCTATGGCGAGAGCCACGTTTTGAAATTTACCCGTCCTCAATGCGCGAAACTCTTGCAGTTGTTGCAAACGAGTGTGCGCGGTGCTGAGGCGAGAACCACATATTTCAAACGCCCGCCCTCAATCCGCAAATCTCTTGCAAAGTTTGAAAATGAGTGCGCGCGGCGCTAAGGCGAGAGCCACATGCTGAAAACCACCCGCTCTCCATGTGTGAAGCTGCTCCCAAAGTTTAAGCTTCAGGGTCGTAGGTGCTGAGAAACTCTCAGGCGAAACGCCCGGCCCGCCCTTTCGACCGGTTTCGGGGTGCGACAGGGAGGAGTTATCTACAAGGAAAAGGAACGCAGGAGGAGGAGGGAGAGGAGGAGGAGCAGGAGCAGGAGCAAGAGCAGGAGGAGGAGGAGGAGGAGGAGCAGGAGGGGGAGGGAGGGGGAGGGGGAGGAGGAAGAGGAGGAGGAGGAGGAGGAGGAGGGGGATGAGGAGGAGGAGGAGGAGGAGGAGGAGGAGGAGGAGGAAGGGGAAGGGGAGGAGGGGGAGGAGGAGGAGGAGGAGGAGGATGAGGAGGAGGAAGAAGAAGAAGAAGACAAATATTCAGAATAATAATAAGAGTAGTAGTAATAACAGTAATCATCATCATCACCATCATACGAAGAAAGCAGAAGCAGAAGGTTATCCCAGTGCGACCCTACCTAGGAGTTGGAGCCCCTAGGAAAGCAGCATTAGTAGTAACAGAAAAGCTAAGCTAAAGCTAAGATAAGGCTAAAGCTAAGCTAAAGCTAAGTTAAAGCTAAGCTAAAGCTAAGCTAGAGCTAAGTTGAAGCTAAGCTAAAGCTAAGCTGACGCTAAGCTGAAGCTAAGCTAAAGCTAAGCTAAAGCTAAGCTAGAGCTCAGCTAAAGCTAAGCTGAAGCGAAGCTGACGGAAGCTAGAGCTAAGTTGAAGCTAAGTTGAAGCTAAGCTGAAGCTAAGCTGAAGCTAAGCTAAAGCTAAGCTAGAGCTAAGCTAAAGCTAAGCTAAAGCTAAGCTGAAGCGAAGCTGACGCTAAACTAGAGCTAAGCTGAAGCTAAGCTGAAGCTAAGCTAAGCTGAAGCTGAGCTAGAGCTAAGCTAAAGCTAAGCTGGAGCTAAGCTGAAGCTAAGCTGAAGCTAAGCTAGAGCTAAGCTAGAGCTAAGCTGAAGCTAAGCTAAAGTTAAGTTAAAGCTAAGCTGAAGCTAAGCTAAAGCTAAGCTAAAGTTAAGCTAGAGCTAAGCTAAAGTTAAGCTAAAGCTAAGCTAAAGCTAAGCTGAAGCTAAGCTAAGCTGGGTGAACCCAGGGGGCGCAACTGGGGGAACCGCGGGGCGGGGACTGGGGGAACCGCCCGGGGCGTGTTGCACTGCCCGGCCCCTTTAAGCTAACAGAGTAAGAACCCTTCTAGGCAGAGCCTAGGTAGGGAAAAAAGAAGAAGAATAATAAGAATAATAAGAAGAATGATAATAAGAATAATAATAATACAGAGAATAATAAACCTAAGAAGAAGAAGAAAACTAATAATAAGAAGACGAACAAGAAGAAGAGGAAGAGGAATAATAAGAGGAATACTAAGAAGAATAAGACGAATATGAAGAGTAAAACGAATAATAAAAAGCATAAGAATACGAATGCGATTAATAATAAGAAAACTTATCAGAATAATGATAAGACTAATAAGAAGAATACGAATAATAATAATAGTTATATGATTAATCAGAATAATAATAATAATAATATAGTCATAAGAAGAAGAAGAAGAAGAAAAAGAAGAGGAGGAGGAGGAGGAGGAGGAGGGAGGAGGAGGGAGGGAGAGGGAGGCGGACAGGGGCGGCCAGCCGCCGACAGGACGCAGGCTGGCGGCAGTGCCGCGAGACGGTTCCGAGGCTGGCCGCGCCGCTCGCGCGCCGCGGCCGCGGGCCACGCGGCGGAATGGGTTGGAGGAGAGGGAGGAGGAAAGGGAGGAGGAAAGGGAGGAGGAGGAGGAGGAGGAGCTACAGAGGGCAATGTTCGACGAAAATGCTTGCCTTCAGTGCTTCAGTGCTTCAGGAGGAGTTGCGGAGTTACGGATATTGCGATTGTGTCGGTTACTCAAGGGCTTGAATTAAGTTGATCTGGCCTCGCGCTTGGCCTTCTCAGCGTTGCTGTAAGCTGTGGGCTCCGCCCCCGATCAATATTCTTAATAGTTCCGATTGCCCTCGGCTCTGCCTCGACACACTTTCCCGAGCTTGGCCAACTGTCGGGCCGCGAAGCTCCCACATGTGCCGCAGAAGCAGATCCCCAGCCCAGCGTGAAGCCTCAACATATGAGCATGTAAGGTCCGCCCGACCCCCACAGATGTGCACCTTGCAGCGCGCAGGCGGCCGACTAATATTGCGATCAATTGCCTGTAGGTCGAAGCACGCGGTGTCCAACCAACCTTGCGAGATGATTTACACGCCGAGGTTCTACACCTTACATGGGACGGGCCAATCTCATATACCAGATGTGCGGTAACAAGCTGCCAGACCGAAGGATCAGGATGCCTGGGTCTAGGGTGCATAACACAGGCTCCACGGGGCCCCAAAGAGGCCTCAAGTTGCTCAGCCTTTGAAGTCTCCAAGGTTGTTGGCCAGATTCGCATGTGGACGGCGTAAACCGTTCGATCAGTATGGAAAGCTCTTGACTAAACTCATGCTGAAACTCTGGCCGCTATCGCAGACTCCTCGGCTAAACTGTTAGCGGCAGTGTTCCCGATGACCAGGCGCAGAGACGGCCGCCCGCACAAGATGTCTTGAGCTTTCTGATGAGAACGAGCGTAAGGTAGAGTACATTGCAAGCTCTGCTTCCTGCGCAAGGTTTGTCCACTCTGGTGCCGCAAATCTGCGTTCTCGCCCTGGGGGTCATATGCTCAGCCATTATACCAGCCTGGGCATACGTGAGCATCGTCACTTGTATAGATCAAGGTTCCATCGGTCCCGACCAACCCGGTGAAACAAAACGACTGAGTTCCCTTCTGGTGACGGTCTGTTGAGGCCCAGGGAGCCTTCCCAAAATTGAAAGTTGGAGTTGCACGTCGAGCGACAGCTCAGAATATTTGGCGAGTCCGCCTCCTACGTATTCTCCGACACCTGGGATCGCTGCTATCTTCGCCCCCGCTTGCGTCGCCGAATAGGACAACGGGGGCCGTCTGAGATCCTCTCCCGAAGCAGTTATCCTCGAAAGCCTTGACCCCTTGGCACCACCAGTCATCAACGTCCTGCGGCGGTGGCACTTCTACCAAGACTGCCGCAAGAGGCCGCGCATCCAGAGGCAGGGTTCCACCCCATGGTGATTGTACGCACGGGGAGCGCAGGTGTCAGACAGCTGGTTCCTGTCGTGACGCTCACACTTGATGTGCAACCCCATCAGTTGTGAAGCTACGGTTCATGTTCGATCTTACATCTGCTGCGCACGAGGGATATTGGCTGCTTCGCTGTTTTAGATCTCCTTTCTCTCGGCCAAGCTGCCCCTGCTGCCGCCGACAAAACAATCCCAGCGAATTTCTGTTCATTTGGTCCTGCCTCCAACGTCGAAGAAGCGCGCGATACGACATATTTCAACAAACCTGCTTGCATCCCTTGCCCGTTATGGTGTGATGCTGCCTCTGTCCAGAGCCTTTACTTGACACATCACTCATACTCACACAAGAAGGCGTCTGGTATGTCCACCGCTGCACGTCCCGTGACCGCCTCTGGGTTGAAACGCCAGTGATGTCGCGATCTTGATCCGTCGTCTGCCATTTGCCAGTTTGCCGGGGTAGATGGAGGAGGAGGACGAGGAGGAGGACGAGGAGGAGGACGAGGAGCAACAGCAGGATGAGGAGGAGGACGGGGAGGGGTGGGGAGGGAAGGGGAGGGGATGGGAGGGGAGGGAGGAGGGAGGGACGGGTTGAGGGATGGAGGGAGGTAGCAAGGGAGGGATGGACGGACGAACGGAGGGAGGGAGGAGGAAGAACAAGGAAGACGAAGAGGATGAGGAGGAGGGAGGACGAGGACGAGAAGGAGGAGGATGAAGAAGAGGAGCAGGAGGAGGACTTACGAAGTAAACCCCAATCTGCGCTGCTGCAGAACAACCTCCGCCAGATATCAGAGATCCTCGACTTGTCCTGGTCCGATTGCGACGGCCTCATGGCCAGTGCCGCCTACCCAGAAGGCGGGACCTCCCTCAGGACCCCCGCTGGCGACCTCCCCCAGGACCCTTGGGGGCGGTATTCTGACCCAGGACCCCCCCGTACCCCACGCCCCCCGCGGGGAAGCGATAAAGGGAATGGGTCTCCCTTCGACTCAACTACAGCGTTCATTCTCCTTGTTCCTCAATTTCCTCGGAACTGACGACGACCACGACTACGACTACGACTACAACCACGACCACGACCACGACCACGACCACGACCACGACCACGACCACGACGTCCCAGACCTGGCGTCATCTTAGGATGTCGAGGCTCCGAGTGCCCTGGAGGTGCCGTTCTTCGGGGGATCGCCTTCCCCCCCTAAAAGAGATCGTGAGCCCCAGGGGAGGGGGAAATGAGGAAGGGGGGGGCAGCCAAGTGTCTCACACGCCTTCTGTCCTCCCGCATGAGGGGGGTCAGCGGCCTCCTCCGCCTCTTCCTCCGCCTCCTCCGCCTCCTCCGCCTCCTCCGCCTCCTCCTCCTCTTCCTCCTCCTCCTCCTCCTCCTCCTCCTTCTCCTCCTCCTCCTCCTCCTCCTCCTCCTCCCCGCCGCAGGCCTCGTACGGGGACGCGAGGCGACTCCTGGAGGAGACCTTCTCGCCGCTTCCAGGAGGCGCGCGCGCGCGCCTCCCCCACGCGGAGCCACCCTCAGAGGCTGGCGGGGGCACGCGCCCTCCCCCCCCCCACGCCCAGGCCCTCCCCTGCTGCAGGGGCCGGCCCACTCGTCCTCGCCCTCGTCCCCCCCGCCTCTCGCCCACCTCCGCTCTGGACCAGGGCGGTCTTCCGTCCTCCCCGAGCGTGGCCCTCGCGAAGGACTGCGAGGGCCTGCGGGGACAAGTGCAGGCAGCGCCAGCGGCGCCGCACTCGGCGGTGGCCACGCCAATGCTGCCACGACCTCGCCCCGCCCACGTAGATGACAGATGATCCGGCACTTGCAAGTTGCTTCTCGTGCCCCCCATGAGCTTGGAACCCTGGGCTAAGCCGTACTGCCCAAGCGCGTTGGGGCAAACACTTACGGAATGCAGTGCGCAATGAAGAAGGGAAGTGGACAAAGCACCATTGACGCATGAGCCCCCTTGACCATTGCCCGGGCACCCCCGCGCCAGCTTTCGTGGTCTGAGCGGGCTCCTCCCTGTCCCTCCCTCGCGCCACGTCCTGTTCGTTTCAGTGCCCCAGTTCGCTCTTCCTGCTGCACCCCACCGCTTGCCGACGGGCGTCTGACTGTTCTTGACCATGCACTTGGCGCCCGCGGACTTGAAACATGTGCAGGGACAGGCTGCCACCTCCTCTCCGAGCGTGGACCTGGGGAGCTGCGGGCGGGCGCCTCGAGCCCGTCGCGCGCCCGCGAGCTGATCGTGCGCCCTCTGGATGGCGTCTCTCGGCCCGGCGCGGAGCGGCGGCTCCCTGAGCGCCGGACGAGTGGGCGCGACGGCCGCCGAGCTGGAAGAGACGGAAGCCAATACAAACGGGGGTCAGCCAGAGCGCCAGTTCTTGCAGGATCCTGCGAAGCCAGGGCTGCGCTGTCCCGGGCCAGCGCGCATGATCCGATCTTAAAGGATCCTGCAAAGCTTGACTGACCCGGGCTCGAGTGACCCGGGTCAACAGGCCACCGAGGCAATATCGGAGCGGTTCCCTGGCGCACCAGCCCGGCGCGGCCACGGGCCCCAGGGGTAATTAGGTCGAGGTGTAGAGGCGTGCGGGCCGTCCAGGAGGCCACCTCGACGAATGCGGGCGCAGTGCAGCTGGAAGAGTTCACGCGCCGAGGTCGGTCGTCCGCGCGTTCGCCGGGACGGTCACCAGCGCGGGCAGGGAACACGTGGAATGTTGAAGCAGCAGGGTCGCAAGCGAAAGGCAGGCGGGAGCGAGGGCCTAAGGGAAAGGTAGAGGTGTATGGCCGTGCGGGCCGTCTGGAAGAGGCCGACTAGGCGCGAGGGTGTCTGCGGGGCGTGGGCCTCCCGGATCCACCAGACGGCCGCAGCCACCGTTGGCGCAGAGCACGCACGGGCAGCGCGCGGCAGGTGCAGAAATCGGATGTTGCCAACCGTGTCCCCAGCCCAGGATGTCCCCAGGATGAAGCTTCGGGGTCCAGGGCAGAAGCCCACAGGGCTCCAGGCGGCACCAGAATCGCGCGAGGAGGCGGTGACGCCTCCTGGGCCGGGGCTGGTCCTAGCAGCACCCGGAGAGATCCGGAGAGGCGACTTCATCGGCTGTTTCGCGGTCGCTCCCGTCTCGGCTGGCAACCTCTCAGCAACGCCCGAGAAGCACCTCGGCGCGGAGGAGGCCCCCGAAGGCCTACCGCCCACCAAATGCGTCGACCTCGACGGCGCCGCCGCGCGATGGCGCGGCCCCCGCGTGCGCGGCCGCCCTCGGCGGGGGAAGCGAGCGCTCGAGGCGCGCGGCCGAGGGGGAGGCGGAAGCGGCGCCTGCGCCAGAGCCCACGCCGCCGAGGGCGAGCGGTGCCGAGGCAGGGCGGCGCGCCTCGCGCCATGTGGCGAGCGGCGATCGCGTCGCCCACGCCGGCGGCGGCGGCGGCAAGGCGCCCACGCCGGGCGAAGCAGAGAGGCGGCTGCACGCAGGTGAGCGTAAGTGGCCTTTCGCCGGAGTGGCCATTGGTGCGGGCACCTCGGGCGCGCGGTAAGGGGTGGGGTGGCCCAAACGGGGGGCGAAGAAGAGGGCCCTACGGGGGCCCTTTGGGGCCCTGGCTGGGGCCCAAAGGTGGCCGGCCCGAGAGGGCCCCTGTAGGGAGGCCTCTTGGGGCCTCCTGGGCGCCTCTTGCGACTCGGATTTTCAGTTCGTGTTCGTTCTTTTGGGCCCCTTTTGGGGCCATCTTGGGGCCCTCTTGGGCCGCTTTGGGCGCCTCTTCGGCTGTCTTGGGGCCCTCTTAGGCTGCTTTGGGCCTTCTTAGAGGCCTCTTGGGCCGTCTTGGGGCGGTGTCTTGGGGGCCTCTGGGGTCGTCTGGGAGCGTCGGGAAGCCGAAAAGGCGAGAGCGCCAAAATCCTTCAAACACATTTGAGGAGAATTAGCGATGCTGGCCTCTTGGGAGGTCTCTTGGAGGCCTCCTTGGGCGTCTTGGAGGCCTCGTGGTCCGTCTGGGGGCCATGTTGAGCGTCTTGGAGTGATCGTTCGGTGACTCGGGTCCTCCTTGGACCGTCTTGGGGGCTTCTCGGGGCCCTCTTGGCCCGTCTTGGGACCCTCGGCCAGAAGAAGTCACGCGAGAAGACGCTGGGAACGCCAGGGGAACGGCGACAAGCCCCAGGAGATTTCGGAATTTGGGGTCTGGGCCCTTCAAAGACTCCTCAGGAGCGAGGAGTGAGGCTTAGAGGATTGGACCCAGGACCTGAGGACACGCCCACTCAATACCCAGCGGCACGGGGGGGGATTCGTCGTGGCCTCTCCCAAGGCTAATTTTCAAAAGATCTTTGGTGCTAGACGTGCCCCTCCCCCTGCGCAGGCCCATTCCCAAGCTTTGTTAGACAAGGCCCATTCCCAAGCTGATTAGAACACACTGATTGGTGCTGGACGCCCTCTCCGTCTGCACCGCCCATCCTCCTCTGCCCCTCAAGAGGCGCAGACGCAGACGCGCGAGTCCGCCGGCCTGCGGGACGGCTGGCCCTCAGGGGCGGCGCGGGCGGGCAGGAGCCCAGTCACAGGAGTGCGAACTTCAAGAAGTCGCTGTCGAGGTCTGCCCAAAATTTGGAATTGGTGGCACTCTGTAGCCATGTGCCGTGTGCACATCCAACCAGAGTCTTCTGTAAGAATTCTGTGATGTTGTCACTCCACCGATTTCTTCGCTGTCCACCGTGCCGGCGCTGCGTTGCCCAGGGGTCATGGATATCAGGTTCTTGTGCCGCTGCCAGTCGGGCCCAACTGTGGCGCGGTTGTGTGGCAATTCGCCCCGCCCATCTCCATTTACGCCTGTGATAGATTGTAACCGATTCCTCCACATGTGCACGCGTTGCAAGGTCTGAGGCGGCGTGGGTAGCCCTGCGAATGAAATTGTCCCAGGATTCAATGTCGGATTCGTCGCCGACGTCGCCAAAGTCCAGATACTGTCTGCCGTCGGACTTGCTGTCGTCGCGTGTGCTGTCGTCATGCTGTTCAGTATTGATAGTGAGTAACATGCGTCGTTGGCCGCGTCGGAGTGTCAGGAGCATGTCTTTGGTGAAAGTCCACGTTGCGCAGCCGTACGTGACCGTTGGCGTCACCGTCCCGCTGAAGAGCCTGAGTCTGCTGCGAAGGGGGTACTGGCTGTTTGTGAGCTCGTTGCGGAACTGGTTGAATTTGCGTTACCCCAGTGCAAGCCTGTTGGTGAGCTCGGCGTGGTGGAAGTCGTGCAACGTCAGCTTGCGACCCAGGTATTTGGTGTTCTCCTCGGCGCTGAGGATTTCGACCTTGTCGTCGTCGATGTCCACGTGTGTAATGCATCGCCCCTGTCGCCTGCTAACATTTGTGAGGATTTTCGTTCTGTCGGAGTGTACTGCAAGTCCGCACTTCGCAGCTTCGTGTTTGAGGTCGCTCAAGACACACTTGAGTTGTCGTAGATTGATGTGCATGCGACTGTGCGGCATGTGCCTGCATGTGCGGCCCCTTCCGGACCACAATTTCAAAGTGAACACTATAGAAGTGAGCGCTATAGAAGTGAGTCCGGTGTACGCCGTCAGCAAATCTCTTGTTAGTCAGGCGCGTCGTATGTGCACTTCCCAGTTGTATACCGAAGCCCTTTCGCGCCCCAGTTGGCTTAGTGTGCCGGAATATGTGCTCGAGTAGCGCGTTGAACAAATATGAGTTGAGTGGGTCCCTTTGTTTGACGCCGCGCTCGATGTTGAATTGTCTGCTTCTGACGTCGGTCTTTCCCGTGGCTCTCTGGTCGCTGTAGAGATTTTGCAGCAAGGTGATGTCGGGTTTGGGCACATCTTGTCTTCTTTGGTGCTTCCCACAAACACAGGTGGTCGACGCAATCGAAAGCCTTCTTGAAATCGGTAGCAGCTGTCTGGAGTGGGAGCTGCCATTCGTAGGACTGCCCGCAAAGTAAAGTTGCAGTGAAGAGGTGGTCCTTTATGCTTGGGCCCTTGCGGAAGCCTGCTTGGTCAGGTGATTGCTGTGCGTCGAAGAGTGTGTCAAGTCGGTTGCAAAGTAGTCGGGACATGAGTTTGCATAGTCACGGCATGATGGCGATGGGTCTGTAGTTGCTTGGTAGTTACGGGTCTCCGTGCTTATAGAATATGCTGGTGGTGTTGTGTTTCCTCTGTTCCGGCGGTGCCTGCTCAGGTGCTACAGTGTCGTTGAAGAGCATCAGCACATGCTTCTCGAGCGCGCCCTCCCCTGCTTTCAGCAACTCCGCGGTGAGCCCAGCCGTGTCTTTGCGTTTTGGAGGTGTTTCACTGATTGGTGCAACTCTTCGTGGGTGAAGGGTGGAATACTCTGTCGAAGTCGCCTTGCTGCTTGTTCTTGGGCGTCAGGGGAGCTGCTGGGCGTAGGCAAAGTTGCGCTTTCAGGGCGCTGGTACACTTCCTCATAGAAGTCCGCGAAGACGTCTGATATCCCCTCTCAGTCCGTCTCGTTGGAGCCCTTTGCTGTTGTCATGGCCGGTATGAGGTCCTTCTTCTTGCCAGA